GGCTTCCTGGTTCCCTGGTTCCCTGGTTTCTGGTTTCTTTGTTTCCTTGTTCCCTGGTTTTCTGGTTTCCTGGTTTTCTGGTTTCTGGTTTCCTTGTTCTTTGGCCTTCTGGTTTTCTGGTTTCCTGGTTCCCTGGTTTTCTGGCTCCATGGCTTCCTGGTTTCCTTGTTTCCTGGCTCCCTAGCTTCCTGGTTCCCTGGTTCTCTAGTTCTCTGGTTTCCTGGTTCCTTGGTTTCCTGGTTACCTGGTTCTCTGGCTCTCTGGTTTCCTGGTTCTCTTGTTCTCTGGTTCCCTGTTTTCCTTGTTCCCTTGTTCCCTGGTTCCCTGGTTCCCTTGTTTTCTGGTTTTCTGGTTCCCTGGTTTCCCGGTTTCCTGGTTCCCTGGTTCCCTGGTTCCCTGGTTCCCTGGTTCCCTGGTTCCCTGGTTCCCTGGTTCCCTGGTTCCCTGGTTCCCTGGTTCTCTGGTTCCCTGGCTTCCTGGTTCCCTTGTTTTCTGGTTCCCTGGCTTCCTGGTTCCCTTGTTTTCTGGTTCCCTGGTTCCCTGGTTGCCTGGTTCCCTTGTTTTCTGGTTCCCTGGTTCCCTGGTTCCCTGGTTCCCTGGTTCCCTGGTTCCCTGGTTCCCTGGTTCCCTGGTTCCCTGGTTCCCTGGTTCCCTGGTTCCCTGGTTCCCTGGCTTCCTGGTTCCTTGGATCCTTGGATCCTTGGATCCTTGGTACCCTGTTTCTCTAGTTCCCAGGGTCCCTCGTTCTTTCCTTCCCTCGTTTTCTCGATCCCTCGTTCCCATGTTTCGTTGCCTCGCTCTCTCGCTTTACCTTTTTCGCAATTCCTAGATTTTTGTCCTTGCTTCATTACTCCTCTACACATTTTGTTTGGTGAGTCTGTTTTGCTTTTACTTTTTATGCAATCGTTCCTCAACCAAATTCTGTATGATGATTTTCAATATTTTGTCAATTAACTACTGGATATTCTTTCATCCAATCACGTTCTCTTCTACCTTTTTCCTTTTCTCGTTTATCTTTAATTAATTTTATTTTCTATTTATTCCAGCTTTTCTCGATTCCGCCAAACATATTTGCAACTGCTGGTCACCAAATTCCCAAGAGACCCCAGGACGCCATGGCTGTGTGGGTGGAGGAGTTGAGGGTTGACAATTTTAAAATTTGCCTCCGAGAAGCCAAGATTTTCGATGGACCTCATAAAAACATCAAAATAGTGAGTGAATTAGTTATTAATCTTCAGCTTGTGGATAATTCGTAATACCTGTCAATCAGCAAGATCACCTTTTCTCTCCCAAATTAAAAATCTTGGCGAAAAGATAAACGATGAGTAGTTGTGTTCAAATACATTTATTCACGTCCGCTAGGGTGTTGCCAAGTACAGCAGAGGTCAACACAGTCAATTAACATACATCAAAAAAAAATTCAAGCCATTTTTTTCGATTTTCATGCGGTTTAAGATGTTACCTTCTTTTTCTTGTTGTTGTTGCTGATGTTTTTTTTCTTTTACCAAAATTGTTTTACGTTCACATCATTAAAAACAAAAATAGCAAAAAAGAAAAAGAAAACAACAACAAACAAACAAACAAAGAAATAAACAAACAAACAAACAAACAAAAAACAAACAAAAAATATTAATATGCAGTTATACTGATTTCCCTATGTTTATAAGTCCTTGCAAATCCATGTTTGGAAATCATTTGCGTTGGTTGGCCTTTTTAACCCAACCTCTCTGACCTTTAACAAAATCCCCACTCATGTATTTTATCCAACAGTTATTGATTTATTTCTCATTACTATTTTTCAAACTCTGCTGCAGAATTGGATGGCATTCACGAATCTGAGAGCTGACAATTTTACCATAACCGACAGCCTCGTGTTTACCAATACAAACTCACCATCTCCTCAAGATAACTACGCTTTCTGTCAAGTAAGGATTAAATCAGCCTCATTTCTACATAATGTTACCGATACTCTACAAAAGTTTGCTTTCATGAAAAGTGGTCAGTTGCGACAATTCATTTTCATTTTTCCTTTTTCAAGTGAAAGTTGTGCTGACTTGGAAACAAAACAGTTTAATCTATTATTGCAACTGAGTCGATTTACATAGTTCCCAAAAGCCCCAGTCTCCCATGCGACTTTTCTCCCTTTCGTTGATCAAGTAGTTGTGGAGAGGTTTCTCTAATAGAATTTAAAGTCGACCTTGATAGAAAGATCATCATTGTCAGACATTGGCAATTTGCCTTTTTATCCCTACAAAAACTCCCTGTTTTGTACAACAACGACACTTATTATCCTATTTCATTTAACATTGCAGACAATAAACTTCACAGAGACATTTTATGCTCCTCCTGTTGTGTTAGTCACGCCAAGGCGCAGCCGCAACAATAACAATTCTAATCTGTCTGGGTCACGTTGTAATGCAGTTACTGCTTGGGTCGAGGTAAGGAATACGAGAAAATTAGGTACAACCAGCTAGGGTATTGGTGAGGACTTCACACCGTATATATTTTGTCTGGTCTATGGCAAAAGGTGTGTGTGTGTGTGTGTGTTTTTTACTTTGTTTGTTCGTTTGTTTTTTTGCTTTGTTTTTGCAGACCCTTAATCGACCCGCGGGCATCACGGGTCTTAGAATTAGCTAATCAGAGTGCGCGTTATAACAACTACAGGCACAAGCCATATAATACAATTCTGTAATATCGTTTTTGAACCTGCTTTTCATTCATTGTTCGAGAATCTTATTCTCTTGCTGAAATGACAAGCACAAGAAAGAAGTAACGCATTTTATTTCATTATTCAGCATACATCTACGACAGATGCACAGGTGTGTGTGAAGAATTACAACAGTAACGTCAACAATAAAGATGTTATCAATGTCGACTACTTGATCACTGGAGGTAGGCAGAGAGGTTCCATCTGTATATAAAAAAAAACAGCAGAGTATTTTAAACTTTGAAAATGAAACACCCTTAACAAACGAAGAAAAATGGTGCTCAAACTACGTAATAAAAGGTTGAAAAAAAGCATTTAATATACACTTGCTATGCAATGGTCTCGATGCGTAAACAGTAAATTACCTTGAAAAGAACCTTTTAATACTATTTACCTTTAAGTGCAATTTAGTTGCACAGATAACTTGAAACAACCCAAAAACGTCAGCTTATTGCATCCATTTTTAATTGTCTTTATTCATAATTACTTACTTTGTTTTTCATTTCACATTTTTTGACCAGACTTGGATCCTTGTATCGACGTGACATGTCATTATCACTGTCTGTGTAAATCGTATGGACCAAATGATGCTCGCTGCGTTGCTGAGGACAGTTGTCCTTCCTACCAAGAACCCGTCTGCTCGTCAAATGGCACAACATACGACAATGAGTGTTTGTTTCGACAGGAAATGTGTAATCTGCAATTGAACTTTTCCGTTCAACACCCTGGTAGTTGTGAAGGTCAGAATGTAATACTTTGATTTGCTTTAAAATGAATTTTTTGACGACATCGATGATCAAAACGATAATGGCGACGATGCCATTGACTTGTGTACAACGAGTAATATCCAATCACTCCTTCTGACTGATCTCTCTTATTATGTTTTTAGGATTTCCTTTCCAGCGAGGTCGCCGTCACATGCCACATATTCCTTCACTGGGATATTCTCATTGTGAAGTAATTCGCCTCAAGGCTTATGTGTTCTATCCAGACAAACCACTTGAAGTTCAGATCACTGTCAATCATATTGACACCAGTGACAAGTCATATGTACATGATGCCACTGTGTCGTGGATTGAAAAAGTCAGTTACGATCGATTCACCACGTGTGTGATGGTGGCAGGGTACAATGAACGGAGATCTAATGCTAACGTGACAGTTGACTGGATGGCGTACCAAGGGGCTCCAGTGGGTGGTGTTGCCGGGGAAGTACGAATATCACAATGGTGGACTGGAACGACTTGTAAAGCTGTCAATTTTCCATCGGTTAGTCTTTTCTGTTTTAACTTAAATTGCACTAACTTCACTTTTACCAAAGATGTCACTGGACCACTGAATAGTACTTTCTTTAACTCATTCTAGGCTTTACAAAGTCTGGATTACTAGCTAGGAATCTTGGTTTCTCCTGTTTCTGGATATATATAGGTTGCTGCACCACTAATTATGTTGTTATTTTTAACATTTTAAACCCTAAACAACTTTTGTCCCGACTATTTTTGTTGGCTTGCTTTGTTATTTT